ATAAAAAGAGAAATGGGCTGTAGAGTCTTTTTCTGACCCAATGAAAGCACGTGGGCCAATGGAATGCTTTAGAGTTCAGCCTGGCTTCATAGCTATTCCTTAGCTGATATGGTGCAGCACTGGCTTGAATAAAATATGACACCTTTTTAGAAGGGAAGGGGAGAGAAGGCCATGGACAGAGAGTGCAGGGGGAAGGGGCTTGCCAAGCAAAAAGTGGTGTCTGTCCAGCTGGGATCCAGGGAGGGAGAAGTGAGTGGTGAAGACTTAGCCTGGGTGTGAGTCTCTGTTCTTCCATTAACCAACCACCTGTGTGGGTGCTGGGCTGCAGTTTCTTCATGTTAAAATGGGGCTCATAATAGTACCTGCCTCAGGTTGCTGAGACTTAAAAAGGCGTAATCTAGGTTATTTAAAATAATGTTACTCGTAGAAAAATCGCATAGCAATTTATAAATGTAGCAAATCAATACTTTGTACACCTTAAACTTACACAATGTTATACATCAATTACATTTCAGTAGAAACACATTAAAAAAACAATGCCTGGCACCTGGTCACCAGTAAATCAATGCTCTTTCTGCCATCCCTGCTCCTTCTCAACTCTTCCTCCATCCCTGCCTCATCTTCTTCACCTCCCTCCCATGCACTCCTCATGTCCTCTTGCCTCCGCTTCCTCTGCTCCCAATGTCCCCCAATCCTCCTCCTTCATTCTCTCCTCTGTCCTTTACTCTGTCCCTCTACCTTCTCCTGTTCCTGCCTCATTTTTCAGTTCCTGTCTCCCTTCAAAAGTGTCAGCTCGGGCCTCCCCGGTGGCGCAGCGGTTGAGCGCTGGGTTGCGAAGCTGCCCGCAGCCTCTGCAGCACCGGTTCGATCCCTGGCTGCTCCCCGGCCACCAGAGGAGGGTCCCACATGGCGCGCAGACCTCTCCTGCCGCCTGCTGCTCCCCTCAGCAGTGTACTTCGGTCCTTCTGCCTGCTCTGCTCCCCACTCTGGCTCTGGTGAATTCTCTCGCCCTCCCGCACTTCTGACTGTACCCAGTGCTTGTATAAATAAATAAATAAATAAATAAATAAATGAATAAATAAATAAATTTAAAAAAAAAAGTGTCAGCTCTAGGCAAAAGCAGTCTCCTCCACTGTTGCTCCTGCATCTTCGCTCCAGGGACCCCAGTCTCTGCCTGGAAGCCTCCCCACACGCACACAGACACAGAATAAGGCCCACTCAGTCTTTATAGTTGCACTCTAGTGATACTTCTCAGCTCTCCCTGGCCAACGTGATGTCTGCCAACTATCTCTAGTTCACCTGCTTAGCCACTCTTGGTCACTGTGGTATAGTTACACCTCGCCTGTTTGCTGGGGCAGCATCAGTCTCCATTTACAAGTCTCCAAGCTCCAGGAGGGCAGGGACTAACGTCCCACACAATATCTGCACTTCTTATGTGTTAACCAATTTTTTAAGTGTTCAAGGTGGAATTGTTAACTATTAACACTATGTTGCACAGAGATCTCTAGAACTTGTCCCTCCTGAGTGTCTAAAACTTTATCCATTGTACCCCCCTTTCACTATCCCCTGGAAACCACCATTTTGTTTTTTGCTTCTATGAGCTTGACTATTTGAGATACTTCATTTATGTGGAATTGTGCAGAATAAGCCAAATACACTTAATGTCCTTAATGTCCTTATTTCACTTAATGTCCTCCTGGATCATTTGTGGTGACATATGGCAGAAATTGCTGAATAAGATTCCACTCTATGTTTGTGCACATTTTTATCCATTCATCTGTTGATGGACATTTGGGTTATCTATGATTTGGCGATTGTGAATTATACTGCAGAAAACATGGGAAGGCTAGGACTTCCAGTACTGTGATGAATAGAACTAATGAGAGTGGGCATTCTGTTCTTGTTCCTGATCTTAGAGGAAAAGCTTTCAGTTTTTTACCCCTTAATATGTTAGTGGTAGGCTTGTCATACATCCTTTATTATGTCAAGGTGAAGCACACTTTTGGAGGTTATAGATGACACAGAAAAAAGTAGACAGCAAAGAAAATACCGGTTCAACATGGAAATTGTACTAAAGATTTTTTTTTAATTGTACTAAAGATTAAAACAAAACAAAATATAGGGCGTTAAGTCCTGACCTCAAAAAAGAAAAATTATTATAAAAGTTGTCTAGGAAAAAAACAAGACTAGACCTTGTAGCCACTAGACAATTTTTACTCCTCTCCTTGCTAAATTTGTCTTTGAATTTCATGCTTCTTCCCTTAATCTTGATTAATCCTCTCCCCATTTCCAATCTCTGAGCGACAGATCCAACTGCTTGGCCCCAAATTACATGGAGTTACTTCTGCTTGCCTCAAAGTTAACTGTATAGATGTCTTCCTTAGCTTTTGCTGCAAACAGCTTACTGTCCTCAAACTCAGCTGCTTAAAAATCATGTATTGTCTCTGAGTCTGTGGATTAGCAAAGAGTGAATTTCCTTTTCTCTGTTGCATTACCAGTATCTAGCGCAATGCATTAAACTCAATAGGCTTTCAACAAACATTTGATAACAGATAAATAAGTGAGTGAATAATTCACTGAAATTATTAATGAAAACAGAGTGAAGTCCTGATGATCTCACATGAGTAGATAATGTAGCTAGACTTTCCCTTATTTTAACATGTCATTTTAAGCCCCATGAGTAGATAATATAGCTGGAGTTTCCCTTATTTTGACATGTCATTTTAAGCCCCTTTGTATTCCAGGGGTTGTAAAAACATGTTCAGGCAGGCTGAGTTCTGAACAATTCCAACTTCCATTTACATTTTCACAACTAACTCATTTCAGCAAATACTACAGATTTGCCTCTGGTTGCAAATGCTTAACATCCTCAGAAAGCTGCTTTAAAGGGAGAGGCAAGTGTATTCCCAGAAGATCTTGGGGTTTCATGATTCTGGCATATTTTTGCATTTGATTTACTAGATTTAGATTCTTAGCCTTCCTCTCAATTTGCTCAGAATCACACTTGCCCTCTTTGACCTTGTGAGTATATTTAACACTGGGGGAACACTTTGAGCTGGGGCTGTTATCTCCCTGTAAGTACAACTGTGAGCAGCAGTTTCCAATATTGGAATAAAGGTGGTAGTGATACCAGGGAGATTCCTGACCTCTTTTCTACAAAGTGGCAGGAGAATCAGATTAATGGCTATTTAGCTAATAAGCTGTCCTGCTGCAAAGACTCAGAACCTCACAAGGAAAGCCACAGAGCTTTGCTTTTTCCAGCTATTCTTTTGTGAAGAAGGAGGACATCCAAATTCTAGATCATCACTCAGAGCAGTTGTTTTCCACCCTGGCTGCACATTTGTTCCTAGCTTTGAAAACCACTGATGCCTGATCCCACTGAAGAAACCACTGATTCCTTTAGTATGAGTGTCGCCTGGGAATCAGGAATTTTAAATCTCTCAGGTAGTTCTAATGTACAGTCAAAGTGGAGACCCACTAGCCCAGTTTATCCGTCTATATTTATATTATTTGGATGTTCCTGTTTGTTAAAGCACAAAGTTTTGTATGCTGGGATGAGCTAGAGCTGAGTTAGAATAACTGGTGTTTATCAGAGAGTCAGGGTAAACATTCCAGTATGTTGGACCTCCCCGGTGGTGCAGTGGTTGAGCGCTGGGTTGCAAACCTGCCCGAGGCCTCTGGGCGCCGGTTCGATCCCCCGCTGCTCCCCGGCCACCAGAGGAGGGTCCCACATGGCGCGCAGACCTCTCCTGCCGCCCGCTGCTCCCCTCAGCAGTGTACTTCGGTCCTTCTGCCTGCTCTGCTCCCCGCTCTGGCCCTGGTGAATTCTCTCACCCTCCCGCGCTTCTGACTGTACCCAGTGCATGTATAAACAAAACAAACAACAAATAAATAAATAAATAAAAACATGCCTCTCTAAAAAAAAAAAAAAATTCCAGTATGTTCCTCTGTATCAGCTTGGTGCTCCTGCCCCCTTTTCTGTCATCACCCCCTATACCTTTGCACCTCACTTCTAATTGTTAGAAGAAGTAACAAATGCCCTAATACTTGAATTCTCAAGGTGCCCTTTACCACATTCTTTCTTTAGCGCCTCACATGGGGTGGGGTTGGGGGGGAGATTGTGTGAGGAACAAGCTATTTCTCTGTTCAGAGTCCTGCAGGAGAAGCTGATTGGCTCAGCTGGATCAGGTGCCTCCCCACTCCACCCCCAACCCCCATCTCCCCCCTCCCTCAGTCAGCTGGTTGTGGCCTGTTGTGTACTGAGCACATCTGTGAGGGCAGCACAGGTGCCCTGGTGACCAGGATCACTTCTGCCCATGCGTGGTGGGGAGGATGAGTGGAGTTCCTTCTCTTCCCTGTAGGAAAGCCTGCGAGAGACTGGCCTGCTGCTACAATGTGTTGGTGAAGAGCTATGCAGAAAAAAGGGAGCTGGGAGAGGAGAGATTGGGTGGATGTGGGGGAATGGGGGGGACCCAGTGCTCAAGACAATGGGGCCCTATGCCCTAAGGCTGCTCCTTATCTGGCATCAACAGGGGTCTTTTTTCTTTCCATTATCGCTCCACCTTGGACCTGTTGGGCTGATCAGAACAGTGTATTCTAGGGTAGCGACATGTTCACTGCACAGATTTGAAATAATAGTCTCGTTGCCTTGGAAGCTAAGAGAATTCTCTAGTGTCATTTTCATGCCATTTTGTGGGTGAATTTCTCTTCTGCCTGTGATTCTCTCTTCCAAGATAGGTTGATGCTTACTAGTTTCAAGGGCGGTGCTTTTGACCTTAAGCCAGATTCAGGGGCTTTCTTGATCACCAGGGGTGGTGTTTTCTGGTGAAAACAACTACATTTCCAATGGTTTGTGATTGATATGACATCACTTATTAAATACGCTTAGTGCTTGAATCAGAATCAGAACACAAATCTTCTGAATGATATTGCAAGATTTTTTTTTTCTTTTACCCAAGTGAGTTTAATTTTCTTTTTCTTTTCCACTGTTTCTTTTTTAGGGGTTCAGCTGTTGCAAAAATAATTGGTAATAATGTCAAGCAGCTTAAGAAGTTTGCCTCCACAGTCAAGATGTGGGTCTTTGAAGAAACAGTGAATGGGAGAAAACTGACGGACATCATAAATAATGACCATGAAAATGTGAAATATCTCCCTGGACACAAACTGCCTGAAAATGTGGTAAGGCTTTGCAATGAAAAGTACATTTGGTAAATCCTGAAAGTTTTGTTCTGCTGCGAAAGCACTGGAACTTGGGGAAATTGGAAAGTGACTTCCTTTTCCCTGGTGCTTTATTCTACCAAGTTGTTTGCTTGGTTGGTTTTGAATTTTTTTACTCTGGAAATGGGCTTTGTATTAACTTTTTAGGGCTGCTACAACAAAGCATCACAGGTCAAGTAACTTAAATGACAGAAATTAATTTTCTCACAATTCTGGAGGCTTACAGTCCAAGATTCAAGTGTCAGCCAAATTAGGTTCTTCTGTGGCCTCTCTCCCTGGCTTGTCAGTGGCCCTCTACTTCCTGTGTCTGTGGATGGTCTCCCTGATGTCCTCTTCAATGAGCATTGGTCCTATTTTATTGGGGCTACTATAGTGGCCTCATTTAATTTCATGACCTCTTTGAAGACCCCATCTGCAAATAGTCATATTCCAGGGTACTGGGATTAGAATTTCAATATGTTGGTGTAGGGACACAGTTCAATCGGTGGGTTGGCCACTTCAAAGCTGGAGTTGACCTTGCCTTTGCTTTCTTGTATCCCCATGTGGCTCTGATATTTCGAAGTACACGGGCTTAGTTGTACTCACTAGAACAGCTAATACACTGGGTCTGTGATTAAAACAGGGTCAAGGCCTAAATTACAGGAGACAGGAGAAAATGGAAAATTATAAGACAGCTAAAAATTCAAGCTTATTAGGTCTGGGAGGAAAAATATAGGTTATTGCCTGGCCTTATTCTAGTGACTTGTGGGGAAGAGAAAATGAGTGTGGGGAATGAGAAGGATGTACCTGCCACTTGTTTGAGTGGAATTTATGAACTTCTGTTGCCGGATTCATTCCTCAGTGGCTTTCTCTAATCGTCTGGAAACCAGACCACTGTGACTGCCTGATCCCTGTGGTTAGCCAGAGAAACTCATCTCCTTTGTTAATAAAATACCTGTCACTGTTTATATTCGCTCACCAAATGTTTATGAGCATGTACAGTACCTGCAAAGCCCAGTGCTGGTGCTTGGACCACAAAGAGGAGTAAGATTATGATGCTTCCCCCAAGGAGTCCAACAGGAGAGACAGATGTGTAAACTGAAAAATGCAGGATGTTTGGAGATGCAAAGACCTTGCTTAGTGAAGATTTTTGTTTGTTTTTGGTTCTGGTGTTCACCAGTGTCAAGCATTCTACTAAGTAGCTTGGACATATTGTCTCATTTAATCCCATCAGTAACCCTCTTAGATGGAGACTATGAGTTTTCCTATCAAGACAATGATTCTGAATTTACAGGGGAAGAGATCACAGTTTGGAGAGGTTGATAAGCTTGTTAGATTTCACAAAGCTGGAGACTAGAGTTCAATTCCTGGTAGATTCATTCCTGAGCCTGGGTTTATAATCAACGCATCGTCCATGAAATACAGTTGTCACTGCCTATCATCTTTCTCTTCTGAGCCCTACCAGCTCTTGTTTAAAAAAGGCTTTACTGAGATAAAATTCACAGACCCTACAATTCACTCATGTAAGGCCTACATTTCAGTAGCTTCTGGAATTTTCACAACATTGTGCAACCATCATTATAATCAATGTTAGACTATTTTCATCACCCTAAAAGAGACCTCATGCCCTTGAATGGTAACTTCCTATTTTCTCTGCCCTGCTCCTCCCCCACGGAGCTACTCATCTACTTTCTGTCTCTTCAGCCATGCCTATTCTGGACATTTCATATACATGGCGCCACATATAATCTGCTGTCTTCTGGGGCTGGCTTCTTTGACTTAACACAGTCTCAAGGTTCATCCATGGTGTAGCATGAATCAGAACTTCATTTCTTCTTATGGCTAAATAACATTTTATTTTATGGGTCTACTGTATTTTGGTTAGCCACTCATCGTTTGATGGAAGCCTGAATTGTTTCCACACTGTTGCTGTTACTAATAATACTGCTGTGAGCATGTGTGTACAACGTTTTATATAAACATTTTTTTATTGAGGTAACTTAAGTTTAAAACCCTGTATAAGTTCCAGGAGTATATTTTCTTACCCTGCCTACCACCTGATGTATGAGCCTTTTCAATTTTTTGAGTATAGATGGCAGTTCTGTGTTTAACTCTTGAAGAACTGTCCAACTTTCTTCCAAAGTAGCTGCACCATTTTCCATTCCTATCATCATCCTTACCAGTATTTGTCCCTACCTACTTTTGAGCCTACCTTTCTGTAGTGGGTAAAGTGCTATTTCACTATGGTTTTGATTTTCATTTGCCTGATGGCTGTTCTTGTTGAGCATCTTTTCATGTGTTTGTTGGACATTTGTTTATCTTCCTGGGAGAAACATGTATCCAAATCCTTGCCCATCTAAAAATAATTGAATTACTTGTGTTTTTAATAAGTTGATTTTCTCCAGTACTATGGGTCTTCACTTTTGAAGGGGATCATTTCCTTGATGATATCCTTTGAAGCATAAATGTTTTAAAATTTGAGGTCCAATTTTTATTTTTCTTCTTACTAATTCTCTGCATTTGGCGTCTTGCGTAGGCCTGCCTTCACTGATGTTTCCTCAGCCCCTAGAATAGTGACTGGTATTCGTGCTCTGAATGAGTCCAGGGACCATGGAAATGGTGAAGAGAAAGCTGGGGGGGGAGGGGAAGTGTTTTCTCCATGCTGTAGGTGGAATCCTATGGAATATAACATTATACCAAGACAGTTTCTATTGGTTGTGGGGTTGTGATCATATCTACAAATTTGGCTGAAATGCTTCTGAAAATTAGAACATCAGTTCAGTAAGAAGCCTCAAAGTTAACTCTTCCTTCCCTGGGTTTAGCTTTTTGATTTTCATTGGGGTAATTTTCCCTGGTGCTTTTCAAAATTTCACATCCCACAGAATCGCGTGGAGAACTGAACAGGGATCACTGCATCCACCCTCAGAGTTTCTGATTCATCAGGTCTCCAGTAGAGCCTATACATTTGCCTTTCTGACAAGTTCCCAGGTGATGATGAGACTGTTAGCACAGGAACCACTGTCAACCCAAAAGTTAAATAAAGGTTTAATATTTTTGTGTCCTCCGGAGGGGCCCTCTCCTCTGCCCAGGGGTGCGCGGCTTTCCCTTAACCATGTTACATTTAAAACCCATCTGTGTTACTCATATGGAGGAAAGAAAACATCATAAGAGTTGATATGTACTGAGTGTTTTCCAGACACGGTTTTGTGTTATTCCTTCTCACAACAGCGCTCCCAGAAGGCTTGTGACTTGTCAGAAAGCATCAGTGTGGGGCTGTTACAGACATGCAAGCAGGGTGGAGGGAACCAGCAGGACTTGGGGGAGTGCCCAGAAGTGAGCCACAGCAGGAAGCCATTACTACTCCCAAAAAGGCAAGGGGACAGAACCGTTTCACCAAACCCGCCTGAGGGAGCTTGGAGGCTTGGGCTGTCTCTCAGGAACTTCACCCTGCAGCTGTAGAGTGAAGTCAAGTCTTTCCTCCCACCCTTGGCTCTCCTGACAGTGCCCCCCAGTGACTGAAGCCCCCCTGATGGCGGGCAGAGAACAAGGGTGCCCAGAAGAGCTCAGTGGAGAGCAGCCTCCCTGGGGAACAAAGTTGGGGCTAAGAATGGCAGAAAATGGAGTGAGCGTTGGGGAGTGGTTGAGCACAACAGAGAACAAGCCACATAGTATTCCCATGATTCCCTTTTACAGATAAGGAAACTGAGAGGCATGGAGAGGGTAAGTCATTGCCCAGCTGGCCAGTAGCAGAGGCAGGACTTCAGGGCTGGAGCCACATGTCCTGAATGGGGAAGGAAAGGCACATGCCACAGTGGCCTGTACGTCTGTCTGCCCAGGGCTCTGCACTTAGCGTCTGGTGAATTGTCGGGGCATGGGTGTATTTGGGAGAGGAGTAAGTTTCCGCCTCGCGCCTTTGCAGGTCGCTGTCCCAAACCTCAGTGAGGCTGTGCAGGATGCAGACCTGCTGGTGTTTGTCATCCCCCACCAGTTCATCCACAGAATCTGCGATGAGATCACCGGCAGAGTGCCCAAGAAAGCGCTGGGAATCACTCTCATTAAGGTAATCTGTGAGCATGCCGGCTGGGACAACAGCACCAGCTATTGGTTACTGGGAAAAAATTCCATTTCCTCTCACTTTCATCTGTTGGGAATATGGAACTGGAGAGGAGGTTGTGGCAGTTGTTTTGTTGTTTTAAAATGTGCCAGGAGAGTAATCAAAATCCAGCAGGCCTGGCTTATCTCAGATTTAGGAGGGGCTGAAGGGGAGTAGTGGTGATAGGAGTGTGAACTCTTCCTGATGAATCTTGCTGTCAGAAAGAACCTTCCCTCCAGTGCCTGAGTCTTAGCCTTTGATCTGGAAATCACCAGTGGTTGGCATTAACTGGGGAATTAATTAATTAATTAACTAGATAAACCCTAAAGAGGGAGTTTTGAGCCAGAAGTCTATGACCCACCTCCAGAAATCCATAGACAAAATTCCGAAGTGTGCACTTAAATGTGCAGGTGGGGTGGGGAAAAGATTCCATTTTCATTCATTTTAACCTCTAGCTGAAATGAACATTTCCTTCATGCCACATGTATAAATTCAGGCCACAACCCCTCTGGAGGTTCAGTGAAATCTGAACCTTACTCAGATTTCATTATTCATTTCAAGATCTGTGACCCTGTTGTTAGTAGAAATCACAAATATTTTCAGGTCACTTTACAACGGATTCAAATCTCTCAAGGTATCACTTATCCTTATCATGACCTTGAAATTATGATAATTATGAGATCTCTTTCTAATTGCATTAACAAACAGCATGTTACTCTACCACAGCTTTTTTTTTTTTAAATTTTGATTATTTCAACTGGTTTCCTGGGTAATCTTATATATTTTGATTTATGCATATGAAATTCTAAGAATGATACCATAAACTTCACCAGACTGCCAGGGATATCATAAAAAAAATTAAGAACCCTTGCAAGAGATCCTATTTCAGAGCATTCATAGATGAATGTTTATAAAAGCAAGCTGGAGCAACCCAAATATCAATCAGCAATAGAATTGGTAATTAAAGGTGAACTATTGAAATACTACACGGTAGTGAACAGGAATGACCCAGAACATTCATAGTAGCCACATCTCCAAATTAATAATGTTGCACAAAATAGCACATCACACATATATGGTATAATTCCATTTTTAGGTTTTCAAAAACAGACATAATGACATATATTGTTACACCCAGCAAAATGGTCAAGAAAAGCAAGACCTACTACATTCAGAACATTAGTTCACCCTAGTGGGGAACTCGGGGAGGGTGGAAGAAGAGGATGAACTTTGGTAGAGACACACGGGGGACCTCAGTGGTATCGGTCATGTTCTGTTTCTCAACCTGGGTACTTAAGTGCTTTTGGTGAGTGCTTGTTCGTATTACCATTTCATTTTAGTTTTTGCTTAAACAGTACAAGCAGTCAGTGTTTACTCTGGTGTGAGAGATTTCAAGTTGTGTGTGCCATTGGATGTCTGAATCTAGAATACTGATAAAGAACCATCTCATGCCTCTTTCATTTGGTGGGGTGTGTTCCCCTAACTTCTTGATATCCTTAAAGGGCATAGACGAGGGCCCCGAGGGGCTGAAACTCATTTCTGACATCATCCGGGAGAAGATGGGCATTGACATCAGTGTGCTGATGGGAGCCAACATCGCTGGCGAGGTGGCTGCGGAGAAGTTCTGTGAGACCACCATCGGTGAGCGCGGCGGGGCTTGGGCGCCTGGACAATGGATGTGCCAATATGTACATTTTCCATTACCAGCATTTTATAGTGGATTCTTCCCTGCTCCCTTAACATTCCTGGGTGGACACTGAGTGGGGTGGGAATTTTATGTGAGGAGGCCATTCTGTGAAATTCATCTGTTTCAACAACCTCCAGAATGAAAGTAAAGCCAAGGAGGCCATTTCACCTAATATGACCTAATGACCTGATGATGAATCAATCAGCAGGATTTAATGCAAACAAACAAGATTACCTGTACCAAGAAGTGTGCACATCCATGGTGGGACTCTTCTGCCTTAGGCTCACAAATGTCAGTATTTGAATCTTCACTGGAGTCTGGTGAGATCTAAACACTGATGAGAATAATCCCCATAATGAGGTGAAGAAGCCTAGACTCAGTTACCCACACCAGGGTCACAAGCTAACAAGCAACGCTGGCGTGAATGTGGGTCCCGTTTCCTGAAGTAGACAATCCTTTATACTCTTACACAACATGGGTGTTGTGAACACTTTTGTGTCTTTTCAGAGGACTTTCAGAATTCTCAAGTGCCAATGTACCATATTAAAAATTGTCAGAGAAGAGGATTATTGTATTTGCAGGTGCCTTGCACAGTTTAAGTGTATTTACCAATTCAGGACTTACTTCCACCCTTGACAAACACTCGAGCACTGGGAATCCTTTCTCCTTGACAGCTTTTCAAAAGGAAGCTCTGAAAGAGGTCAGGCCCTCTTAACATGAGATAGATGGGAATAGGTAGCTTATACATGCCTGCAGGTTAAAGCATTTTTCCTTTTTTCTCCATTATTTTTAATTGCATAGTTATTACTTCATTATTGTTGAAAATTGAGATCATCAAAAGAAAACTTTTTTTATTCATTTCATTTTTCTATTTGTATAAACTATGTTGTTAAGTTATATACCGCTTTGTAATCATTTTATTTAATATACAGCAAACAACTTCTAATAGTCTTCATAGCATAATAGCCCATCAACAGTTCCATATCTCGGCACTTAAAACTCTCTTTTGAGAAATAATGTTTTTGGAGAGGCACCACAAATAATATAAAGAAAACAGAATGTCTATAATACTGTTGTCCAGATTGACATTTTACAAAAGTGATATCGGCACAGGTAAGAAAATGCAAGCAGTGTGAGAAGGTATAAAATTAGACTTAAATTGGCATCTCCCACCGATTCCCTCTTCCCAAGGGTCACTGTTAGCTTCTAAGTATCTTCCTAAAAAAAAGTATTTACATGTATGTACTAGTCCATATCACAGTTTTTATTTTTCACAATTGAGCATTTTAGCCATCTGTGATTTTAATGCAGCCCATGAAGTTATGTAATTTTATTGTTTAAAAAAAATTAGCTAGTGGTTCCAACTCAATCCTGTTTGCCAGGAATCAGTTGGCAATCAGTTCTGTCAGCCGGTGGTTTGTTATTACAAGTATCCTGTAAGGCTGAGTTTCACCTCTAATCTTGAATTAAACCTTGCATGTACCTCTAGGCTTTAAGGAGGGTTTTTACCTGCCTCTAGCCCTATTTGTCCTGGGAAAGTTTCTGGCCAGGTGCATTAGGCTTTTTGTTTTGGGAAAAGAAAAATGTACAGAAGCTGCTTCTGCCCTCTGGCTCCTGTTGATCCGTTGCTTTCTCTGTGGGTTGGGCTGTGGTTGGCAAGGGTGACCTGGATTAAACAAAACACTGAAAGGTTTAACATGAAGGTGATCTTTTCTAAATCGCTATTTCACCTGAATTTAATCATGGGGAAACACCAGACAAGCCCAAAGTAAAGGACATGTTGCAAAACAACCTGCCGGTGCTTTTCAAATATGTCAATGTCATGAATGGCTAAGGGAGTGCCCCTGATGAAAGAGACTAAGAGGGCATGACTGCTAAATGCAGTCAAGATCCTGTACTGGATCCTGTGTGGGGGGAAGGAAGGGTGCCATGCAAGATGATATTGGGGTGATTGGTGAGGTCTGAGTACGGATCGTTAGATAATTGTATCAACATTAAATGTCCTGTATTTGATAACTGTACTGTGGTTATCCAGATTACCTCTCTAGATGACATTAGCAATCAGCTGAATTTTATTATGATAGATTCAGGAATCTTAACCTACTTGGGTCTTATGTGGAGGAAGAAGGAAAAATGGCATTGTTTTCTGGGTCTTGAATAAAGGCTAGCCTGCAGAGTGAACTATGGTGCCCCCTTGTGGCGAGAGCTACCTTCTTTCTGGGAACTGACTTCACAGAATCTGAGATTTACTTGTCATCCCACAAATATTTTTCAAAGCCTATTATGTATCAGGCTTGGCATTAAATGTCAAGGATAAACTCCTTGCAGAACTTTTCAGCATACAAACAAATATGAAATCACAGACTGAAATGAGAGTTATAAAGGAATCTTACTAATTAGGTTCTCTCTGAAACTTGGTATTGAAGAGAAAGAGGATTTTCCTTTTTTTGCCTTTGTATCGAGTTTGGGGCAGCCCTCCCACTTGATTGTTGGGCATTACTTATTCTATACCAGAACACCTGGGTTCCCACTTGCCTTGTCACTGTTTATAACTGCTAATAATTTTAGTGCTTCCTTACCCATAATTTAAAATAATAGCCTTCAGAGGTACCTTTGAGAAAATATGTGATTGCTGTAAGTCAGGTCCACCTCTCTAGCAGATACTGGGCAGGCTTTGCAGCCACAGAGGAAGCAACAGACACCCCTCCCCCCACTGACTTATGTTAGTGGTAAATGGAGAATGCCCAGCTCCCTGCCTGTTGGTTGTTTATGGCAGCAGTGAAGTTTTAGCTGCAGGTGGCCAGATTAAAGGAACTTGAGTTAGGGACTGATCTGTGGGGCTCGTGAGCATCTCTCCTTTGGAAGCACTGAGCCATGGCCCGGTGAGGGCAGAGGAGAAACACAGTAATGTTGTTATGATGTGGGGCTGGGGGCTAGTTTACCCAACCCAGATGATGCAACAGCATTGCACAAAAACAGCTAGATGGTCTGGTGACTGCTTAAAAAGGAAGATGACGGTTTGCTTGAACGGATACAGTTCTAATATTTGGAAAAAGAACTCAGCTAAATGACATGATGGAAGTGCCTGTAGGATAGAAAGAAAATGGGCATAGTGCCAGCAAGGCACAGGGCAGGTTTTTTATGATCCATGCAGATGGGTAAAGGAGGTGTCCTGGAGCCTTCAGTGGCTTTTTCAGGCTTTTAATCATATTTCTACACCACTTGTTGTGAAGCAACCAGGTATAGAGCAGGCAGGGGTGCCAGGGGCCCCGGGGAACCAGGAGGTTAGCCTGCCTTCTAGCCCCCACAGATCTTCACTCTGGGCTCTCTGGTGTTCTCTCGTGGTCTCCACTGGTCACTGCTCTCTGCTGCATGGTCCTCTCTCTTTCCTCTACTCCTGCGCTTGTAGCTCCACCTCCAGGCTTGGTGTGCCCACTTACACATGCGTATACCCTTCTCCAGGTGCCACCATCAGGTACACGTGTAAGACTATAAGACTGTAGGTGTTGATCATTGATGCTAACAGCAGGAGGGTAGAAAAAATCTGATCACTTCCATTTACCCTACGATGAGTTACTAAGTATTGAGTGGAGGTATTTTATTTTTTTTAATAAATTTTATTTTTATATTCCCCATACAATTGCAACCCCCTTATTTTGACCCCAATCCCTCCGCTCCCCACCCCCTACCCCCCATAGAGTGTCTCTGGTTCATAGTTGTTTGTTGATTTTGATTTTCACTTTCTTATAGTTATTCATTTTCCTGGTCCCTTATTTAAGTTTTCTAGATTCCTGCTATGAGTGAGACCATCCGGTATTTTTCTTTTTCTTTCTGGCTTATTTTGCTGAGCATGATCCCTTCCAGCGCCATCCATGCTGCTGCAAATTGCATGTGTTTATCTTTTTTGAATGCTGAGTAATATTCCATGGTGTATATGTACCACATCTTCTTGATCCAGTCATCTATTTTTGGGCATTTGGGTTGTTTCCAAAGCTTAGCTATTGTAAACAGTGCTGCTATAAACATAGGGGTGCAGGTGCTCTTTGGAATTGCTGTTTCTGTGTCCTTTGGGTAAATACCTAGGAGTAGAATTGCTGGATCATGTGGAAGCTCTATGTTTAGTCGGTTAAGAAATCTGAGTGGAGGTATTTTAAACACCTTATTTGGAAATTTTCTTGAAACAAAATTTAAACAGAAGTAGGTGGAACTGAGTTTTGGATCCTGTGTACCTACCGCCTGCGCATCCACCACCCATCTTCACTAACCATTAAATTCTGGCTAGTCTTATTTACCTCCTATATCTCTACCTCTCCTTATTCTTCCATAGATTATGTCAACATTATATCACCTCTGGGTGTAATTTTAATTATTGGCAATCATCTTTTTTTGCTGCACTGGAAGAGGGTAGCTCTAGTTGTGATGTTTGTTCTTGGCTCATTGACCATGTCTTTTCTCAGCCCCAAGAGGCAGCATAGCACAGGGGTCAGAGCTTGAGCTCTGGAGCCAAAGCACCTGGCTAGAACTTGGGTTCGACTTCTAGCTGTGTGACCGCAGGCAAGTTGGTAAACCTCTGGGGAGGGGTGACCTGTTTGTTAATGGGGAAAATCACAGTCATAAGCATATAAGTGCTGCCTGTCCCCATCGTTATTACATAGGCCCTTTATGTGCTCAATATGACCAAATAAGCTATTTTCACAAATGATTCTTATTTGACTTCACCACAGTCCTGAGAGTGTACTCTTTTACTCATGAGGAAGCTAAGATAAAGAAGATCTTATATCAGAGGTTTGCAAGCTGCTCTGCCCCTTGGAATCACCTAAGGAGCTTCAAAAATTACTGAGGCCTCCACCCCAGAGAAGGTGATTTAATTAGTCTGAGAAGTGCCCTGGAATTTGGTGCTTTTAAAGATCCCCAGGTAATCATGCTCTGCAAATAAGCCTGGGAGCTCAGGCATAGGTAGTGCTCAAGTGCTGTAGTTTTGAATGAGTTTTGTGGTCTGTGTGGACACCTTGACTTGAGAGCCACAACTTTGCCTATAATTCTATCATCCTGATTTCCAGAGCCCTCCAAAAGCTGAACCTCACGCAGCATCCCCCACTGACCAAAATAGATCTCACATTCTGCTTTAAATGTAAAGTTTTGTTTTTACTTTTTTTAATCGAAGATCTCAAAATAAAAACCTCACAAATGTGTGAAAATGCCTTCTCATATATCCCATTCCAGAAACCTCCCCAAGGGAGGGGACAGAGCAGTAGCAAAAACAAGTATTCTGAATGCATTTCCATCCTCCACAATTTAGTCAATAAAAATATTTGTTGATGTTGTGTTCTCCATTGCCATGGTAATGCTAAATAACAAACAACCATAGCGCCTGGTTGGCATACAAGAGAGGCAAACTAACACATCTGAGGGGCCACTGGAGGGTCAGCTGATACTGGCCAGAGCTGGCTAGAGTGACCGCTCCCCTCATCTCACCTCCTGCAGGACCCCTTGCACCAACAGAGACAGGTTTTCCTCATAGTGAGGGCAGAGGTACAAGGAGCCAGCAGGGAGCGGTCTGCAAGCTTCAGCTGCATCATCTGTTAATAACCCATTGGCCAAAGCAAGTTATGGGGCGGGGTGGGGTGGGGTGAGGATGTGCTCCAGCCTCTGTGAGTACAAAACATCGTGTGATCAAGCCTAGATGGGCGGAAAGGGGTGATGTCTCTCATGGAAAAGGGGTGATTGGTTTAGAACAATAATCGATTACAAATGTAAACACAGGAGTTGTCCTTTAAGTGTTTATAGTGGCAAAAACCTGCAGTAATTTGGGATATCAAGCAATAAATATTCAGATAAAATATAATACACATATACAGTAAGATACGAAGCAGCTATTTAAAATGATGTAGAAAACATGTCATTGAAAATTATTCATACCATAAAATGGGGGAAAGCAGGTTATAAAATGAGGGATATATTATATTCCTGATTTGAGAAAAACTAGATTCACCCTTAAGAAAGTTAAAGATGGATGCCAAACTGTTAGTGATCATCTGTGGTGGAATTATGGAACCCCCCCATCCCCCATTTCCTCGCCTATGGATTTTCTAAGCTTTCTGTAATGAAACTGTTACTTTTGTAATAAAACAAAACTATTCTAACTGTGGTTAGAGGTAAAAATTAAGACTGGAGGCTGCTATTAATTTGCTTTGTTTTTTTATTAGGCAGCAAAGTAATGGAGAATGGCCTTCTCTTCAAAGAACTTCTGCAGACTCCAAATTTTCGAATTACTGTGGTTGATGATGCAGACACTGTTGAACTTTGTGGTGCTCTTAAGGTAAAGCCAGCCTTGTTATTTCTGCACAGGAGGGGTGTTTCCCCACCCGAGGCCATCCTTAGCCGGGTTGAATTTAATCCTGAAGAATGGCTCTGTATCCCTCACCCTCACTTCAGTGAAGAATAGTGAATTGAGAGCTTTGTCTATCACTTCCTGTCTTGCCTCGCCTTTCCTGGGTGGTTAAAGTTCCCCTCTCACTTGCAGTTTGCTTTTATTTGTAAATCTGGGAGAATTGTGGTGTTCTGTTCCTTGGGAAATTGGCAGCTTTCACATGTGGAAAATGTGGCGAGTTACTGGGTTGGAACATTTGATCTGGAGCAAAGTGTCCTGTTAGTTCTTCTGCTACATATTATCTTATTAGTTTTTTTTATTAGTCTTCTCCTACATATTATCTTCAGCAGGAGAGGAACTTGTTCCTCTAAATTATGCTCCTCTCTTGTTTGGTTGCTTTGGCTGGTGGTTCTTTCAAAGGTAAATTTGTCTGCTACTGACAGGTTCTTCTAAGAATGGTTTTATCTTTGTCTGTAAAGAGAAAAGATTAGGTTAAAGCAGCAGCTTCTGTCAGCCAGTGGCTTGAAGGGTAAAGGGAAGTTTGGACAATTGGGTGCTCAACTTGTTTGCCTTTTATCTTTTTAAAACCTGGGTCAAAGTCCCTCTCCAGTTCCAATGGCTGGGAAATAGCCAGCTGGGAGCAGGCCTAGGGCTTCATCCATCACCCCTTAGAACCAGAGCTGCTTCAGTTGCCCGCTCAAAAAAGTGAAAATGAACAAGAGCTTTCAATGTGAATATCCCCTCAGATGCCTCCCAAGTCATTTCTTTTGTAGCAAAAGCTACTTTTCAAGAATTTGAGTCCCTAGGGAAGGAAAAGAGGCAATCTGGCTCTCCCTGTACTTTGTCAGGTGAGACATGCACAGATGAATGCTTGCCACTCTTTCTCTAAATATACAACCCTTTCTCTAGTCAGAATTTAAAAGCACTTTTTAGAACGTCCCGTGTGTCTGTGTGTGGTCATGTGTCCCTGTAAGTGAAAATTCTAAAAATTAAAGCCAATTAAAGACTTAGGCTGGAAGGCTGCACACATCCAGATTTCTGGAAACTTGCGTGGGTCATTCTGTGTATTACGGAAGGCCTATTAGACGATTAAGACACTGGCTTTGGCTGCTTTGTTTATTTTTGTTGGTTGAGATTTTTATGTGTTTTTAATAGCCCTCATTAAACTAATGACCACTCGACAGCAGGGGTACCATGAATGCCTAATTGCTCGGCACTGGCCTGGGCCTCTCCAAAGCTGTTTTTAAGTGACTGGATGTTTTTTGGTGGTCAACAGAGAAGCTGTGAGAACCTGCCCAGAACAAAGGTGCTAGGGGAGAAGAAAGAGTCTAGATTGAGGGCTCTGGAAAAGATTGTGCTCGTGGGTGGTCTGTGTCTGAAGCTAGAAAGGCTTTTGATTTTCATTGGCAGGAAGCCTGTAAATGGATTTGTGCCTGCTACCATCACGCAAAGGGGCTGATGAGAGGGGGAGGCAGATGGGGGTTGAGGACCATTTAGTATCCTCCCCCTGGTTGTTGTTTGAAACAACATCAGTTACCATTATTTCTGTCTGCATCAGGCTGTGATGTTTGAACACTGAGAAACCAGCACCTTGGCAGTAATTGAGCCCAAGCCATTCATGGAATGGATAAGGAGACCCAGTGAGTCAGTGATTCGGTGTAGCAAATATTGGCAGAGTCCAGTATGAACAAGTTTGAAGAACTCAGCTCAGTGTTCTTGGGTCACGATGTACAACCTGACTTTTATGGTTCGTGTGTCCAGGCAGTTGAGAACAGCGCCTGCCACAGCCAGGACAAATAGGCCTATGTTTCTTTCATTACATAATTAATAGTTTTGTTGCTTTTTCCTGATTATAAAAGTAGTACACATTCATTGTCACATAACAGAGAGATATAAAGAAAATGAAAGGCACTCATGATCTCTAATTCCTGAGATAACGAACTGCTGTTAATGTCTGCTGCAGACCTGCTAATCTTTTTAGCAAGTGTATGTGAGTATGTCTCCTTTTTAAAACAAGAACTAGATTTTACTGTTCAAATGGTTTGACCTATTTTTTTTTCACTAAGCCACCTTTAGTAATCTTCTTCATACCAGCAAATAAAAAAATGCTTACCATCTTTCTTTGTGCTGAAAAATGTAAGGACTTCTGACTTACAACAAATGAAAGAAAAACAGGATAAAAGGATAAAAGGATAAAAATGAAAAGTCAAAGAAATTCTGCAAAATCGCTTTGTAATGTCTTACTGTCTTCAGAATATTCTTCACCTCTCAGATACGCTAATCTCTTGCTCAGTAAAGGAATATTCTTTTTAAATGTCTACTTCATTTACGCATAACTGATTACTTTAAGCTGCATCTATGGGTTTTAACATGTGTGTTCATATACCCTGAAAATTGCCATCACAATATAGAACATTTCTGTATGCCAGGACAATTCCATATATCCCCCCAGCACCACCCCAAGCCATGTTGTAACTGAAGTGATTTTGCACACTATAGTTTGCATTTCTAGATTTTTCATAGTGGAGTTGGGCACTAGGTACTCATCAGTGTCCGACTTCTTTCACTGGGGTATATTTTTTTCTTCGTTTAAGATTTTAAGAGATACTTCGTACACAAAAGTCAAAGTTCCTAAGTATATAGCTTAACCTGTGCTGCTGTTTCTAATAGATAAATTTATCACAAGAAAGATTCATTAACAGAGACCCAAAATAATCATGGCTGAACAAGCTAGAAGTTAATTTCTTTCTTTTTTTTTAATATTTATTTATTTATTCAAGCACTGGGTACAGTCAGATGTGCGGGAGGGTGGAGAATTCACCAGAGCCAGAGCAGGGAGCAGGACAGACAGACAGACAAAATACACTGCTGAGGGGAGCAGTGGGCACGGCAGGAGAGGTCTGCGCGCCATGTGGGACCCTCACCAGCAGCCGGGGATCGAACCAGCGCTGCAGAGGCTGTAGGCAGCTTCGCAGCCCAGCGCTCAACCTCTGCGCCACTGGGGAGGCCCTGTTTCTTATGTAAAATCCTGAATCCATATGACAACAAACTGTTTCACAAAATTCTCAGGGACTCAGGTACCTGCCAGCTTACAAGGGTGTGGCCCTTACCCTCATAGCCTAAGATGGTGGCCAGTGCTCCAACCATCACGTTTGCCTTCCAGACATCAGGGTTAAAAAAGAAAGAACAAAAGAAAGGATTGGGGTCATGTGGCAGTTGTTGTGACTACACCAAGCTACAAGGGAGGCTGAGAAATTTGGGGTTTTTTGCTATTGTTGTTGTTTTTTTTTTAACTGGGTCATCATATACTTTACATGAAAATCGGGAACCCTTTTAGTCCAGAAGGAACGGGGATAAACACTTAACTTTTACCACAGGTGCACGAGTTCCTCTGTAGGGCTGTTCTGTAGTGAGGTTAAACACCCTTACATTAGGGCTCGCATGTTTCCTCCAGGGCGTAGGCTGTGATCAACCACACTGAGATGCACAGCCTTGTGCCTAGTGTCTAGCCAGGACCACTGCTGGACCTCACTTGCCATATGTGGCTATTTGCATTTTCATTGAACTGAATTAAAAACTAAAGAAAAGTTAAAGGTCAAATTCTGAGTCACAGTAGTCCCATTTCAAAGACTGAGTAGTCACATGAACCTCAGTGGCTGGTGTCTGCTCTACTGGATAAGCAGAGAGAAAACTTTCACATCACTGCAGAAACTTCTAGAGAATGCTGAGGCAGATTCTTTTTCAGGTCCTGACTAAGTGGACCAAGTATGACCTTGACCTCATCCCTCCTTGACATCTCAGCCAGGCTGCCTTCCACAGAGCCATCCTGTGAACCGTCTGTGGTTCTCCTCCTGGAGTGAGCCTACAACCTGCAGACAGTTTCCTTTACTGACTTGGGTTTTAGTCGGTCTTCCTGGGTGGTAAAAGCATTGGCATAATCTGCAGGCAGCAGGGACTGCTTCTCCAGTTTCATATAGTTTTTGTGAGAGTGGGGGAGTGGAAGGAATTGAGCCTGTCCACCCAATTCAGAATTGCAAAGATGGGACTTCAGGGTAGATGAGGACCTCTGAGGATTGCCATCCCCAGGAAATGGGGCAGGGCTTAAGCATGTATGTCTTCTGAAAATCATGATATTTTTAGCTCCAGAATAGTTTAAAGCAGATTTAAATGCACAGTGGATAATGATAACTTTCACAGCTGAGCGATCTCAGAGGACATCTGCTCGGATGCTATTCAAACACATTCTGAGTGGCTCAGTGTGTTTATTTTCCTTTTGACAGTGATAAGTGGTGGAGGGAGAAAGCAAAGATTTCAAGATCCATCATAAGGCCATTAAACTGGGTCTGGACTCGGAGTCCCCAGAGAAGGGAGTTTACCCTGCAGTGGCCCCCTGCTTCCCCTTCCTCTGCAGATTAGCCATCTAGTAGGAGCTGCAGGGTGGTCCCAGCCTGGGTGCCCTGTGTTCAAGGGGTCCCATGGGGACCGGGAAGGCGACTGGAGCCCCAGGTCATGGACATCCTCATCTGCTTTTTCTCTGAGCGCTGTGATGTGAAGGGTCAGAAGCACTGCTCTGGAGTTCACGGCTCATCCTGCAGCTCCTGTTGGATGCTGCCAGTGACTGAGAGCTCATTCGCTTGCCTCAAAGTCCTATCAGTTGGGAGGGGTCAGCTCTCCATGTTAGAAAGTTTTCACCTTGACTCTGAGATGTGGCCCCTCTCACTCACTGGCCTGGAGCAGCCCAGGTGATGGGCTCCCTGGAGAAAAGTGCAGCAGGGGACCCTGGGCTTGAAACCCAGCTCTGCAGGTCTGGACTATGCAGCTGGGCGCAAGCTACTTGCCCTGTGCATCTGAGTTTCCTCACCTCTTTGTTCATAATGGAACTTGCTTTCGGGAATGTTATGAAGATTAAATGTGTTAATAATATATGAAGCACTTAGAACGGTTCAATAAGGCTAACTGTCATTATTATTTTTATTATTTTTCCTGCCAATATTTTCTCCCCTGAAACCTATCCATTTTACCTCCCAAGTCTCCATAAGGGCCATAGAGCACTCTTCATTGACATATAATTGCAGAGGCTTCAGGAAGGTCTCCTAGACCCTGGGGAGTGATGGGGGTGACCAGGACAAATGTGCCACTCTAGGGAAGCGGTGGGCCCACAGTGGGCCCAGGGAGCCAGGCATGGGAACATGTCCTAAACACCTCGCTGACCCTCAGGGTGTTCTTGGCCAGCCTCTGAACCCCATGAACAGGCCAGGAGCATAACTCCACACTTGCCAGGGTTGTCATGAGAATGCAAGGAAGACGTGTGCACAGGGCTGGTATGGCTCAACACAGCACTTAAATACCCTTTCCATCCTCCGTGTATAGGACCCCTGTTAAACAGAAGTCCATGTTAGTGCCCAATCTGTAGACATTGACTGGGGTTGGTTTATCAGGTAACCTTCAGGATGGGTCACACTGTAATGAATTGGCCCAGTCCAGGAGGCATGTGAGAGTAATTTCAGCAACCTAACCCCTTGGTCCACCATCCCGATCCTAGGTGGCCGTGTGTTACTATGGAAACTTCAGTGAAATCATTTGGCAGACTCACAGTTGGCCTCATGATCTCTTTAGTCAGTTCCCTAGCATGTCCACTTCTTGACACAGTACTGTCCCACTGTCCGCAGCCCCAGGGCAGGCCACAACTGCACCATCTTTCCTGAAGGATTCTCACTATGCAAAAGATCTTGAAAGACTTTACAAACCCTACATTTTATACTTCAGGCAAAGAAGGCTCAGAGAGGTAGAGTAATTTTCCCATGGGCACACAGCATTGAGGTAGAGTAAGAACCAGAGACCCACTGGATATTAGTTCATAGGCCCCTTGTGTCTTAGTCTGACTGCTATGCTGGAAGGGGTGCCTGGACCTGGTGTCTGGACCTGGTTGTCCTTAGGGTCCCCACCTCTCACTCTACACAGTGCCCCATCCAAAATGACCTGGTGTTCCATGTCAATTGGCAGCTCATCTGCTTTGGAGCAGAACTGCAGAGCCAGATCCCACCATGCCTCTCTGCATGACTCTAAGACTCCTTTCACACTCCCTGTCTCCCTCCTGTTCACACTGTGCTGCAGGACAGTCAGAGTCAGCACGCCCAGGATTACTAACTTCCTCTATCACTGGGAGCTGAGGATTGCTATCTCTGAGCTGATGAAGCCTACAGTTTGCTCTGGTGGGAAGGGGTTGAGAAGCTTTTGCAGGCACAAGCAGAAGTTAGTACCTTTTGAAAATATGTGCTCTCTGGTCAGGTTATTAATTCAGAAGACCTGATCCCTTCTCAGCTTTGCCTGCAGCTGTAGCAACCGGGGTCTAAATGGAGTCTACCTTGGGGAAAAGGAGGAGAGAGATCAACTTAGAAGCTACTTCACTGTTTATAACATTTATTAGAGCTCATAACCTCACTGGGAGACTATGTAGAAATGGGGTGGATTTGTCTGCATGCGTTCACACAGGAATCTGATCATTTGTAGACTGTTTTCCTTTCTATGTCAATAGCCAGCAAGCAAAGTAAGCTGTAGCATTATTAATGAGGGAGAGAGGACAATCCACTTAAGGCACTTTCCACTCTGATCCTTCCTTCTCAGCCCTCTTCATTCTGCCACCACCCTGGATAAGGGGAGAGAGAGCTCTGTTCTCTTGGTCTATTGGAAGCAGACAAAATCTTTCAGGGGTTCATCAGATTCTGCTCATCTGAAATCACTTTGTGGCTTCTGTCTCCCAGTGAGTAAAAGCTTTGTCCAAATGGCCAAATCTGTGCTGTTTTGGCAGAGCCTGGCTACATCAGTGCTGTTTTTGATGTATTTTTATCAAAAACTGCATATCAACCAGAGAAGACATTTTTCTTCCTCAGTTTATAACTGTTTTTCATCTCATTCCTCATACTGAATAGACCTAATGTTTTAAGAAATATCTTTTGGGCTGCCTTTCATTAAGCATTTTTGGGAGAAAAAGTATGCTTACCTTATTTTAACTGATTTACTGTTTAATACCAATTAGTTCCATGCTTTAAGATCTTTCTCTTTTTTTTTCTTTTTTATTAATATCTTTTATATCGTTGTGTATTCCCCATAAAATTCCCACTACCAATTCACCCATGAACCTTCACTATAGTTCCTTATGTTCTTCTCTCCCCTGTTTTGATCTCTTTTCCTCCCCCTCCCTCACAGAATGTCTCTTATTAATGATTGCCTGCTAGGTTTTGTTTTTAATTGTTATTTTTTTTCCCTGATCCTTTATTTGGTTCCCCGATATTCCTCCTATCTTTCAATGCACAAGTCCACCTAGAGTCACCAGGTATGTGGAACTGTACTAGTATGGTTAGACAGATACTTCTATTTTCAAAATACTGGTATTTTCCCTGGCTTTGGGTTTCTTGGTGAAGGAGTTGATAAAGCAGAAAGGCCTGGGAACCTGGAGGCTCCACTGAAGTCTCCAAATGGGTGCTCTTGAGTTACCATGTATACCTTACTGATCGTAGGTGGTTGTCTGACTCTGCATGGGATTTGAGGCTCTGCTTAGATGCCACCTCCTCCATGCAGTTTTCTTTGCTTTGAAATGAAACAGGTGGATCCCATCACTTGTCAGCACACTCTCGCTTATGTACTTTGTTGTGTCTCTTTCCCCAACTAGATTATCAACTGTTTGAAGACAAGCTTTGTGTTTTATCTTTGCAGTTCCTCTCAGTGGCACCTTCAGCCCCCACCCTCTCCTCACTGCCCTGTGCCTCCAGGGTGCCATGTAGGGATTCTCACACAGCATAAGCTCATACATGGGCTGCCAAGATTCTAGTTATTTGAGTGCACATTTGATTTTTCCTAATAGGTTAGAGCTTGGCAAAATTTTTCCATAAGGACCAGATAGAAAATGCTGTAGGCTTTCTGAGCCATATAATCTCTGTTGCAGCTCTTCAGACCTGCTCTTATAGCCCAAAAGCAATCACAGACAATAGGCAAATAAGAGGGGGTACCTGGATTCCAATACATTATTTATGAAAACAGGCAGTTTGCCCTTAAGTTGCTGATCCCTAAAACTACATTATGGGCTTCTGAAGAGGCAGGTCTGTGTCTCATTTACCTTGTGTCTAGCAGTATGCCTTGCAGGGAGTCCGTGTTCTGTGTTTGTTTGCAATTATTAAATGAAACAGCAGCTGAAGCTTGAGCTTCACACAGTGCAGACCTAATGATGAGGAGTTCCACTCCTGGTTACATAAATGCCTGCATGTCACCAAAGGATATGCACCGTGCTGTCCATAGCATCCCAATCTGCAGTGAAACTACCCCAAGGCCAATCAGCAGAATGGCTAAATAAGTTGTACTATATTCACATAATGGAATATTATGCAGCAGTGAAAATAAATGTGTTGTATGTAAAATTATGGCTAAGTCTCAAAAACATGATGTCAACCTGAGACGAAGAAGGTAGACACAGATCACATACTGTATGACCCTATTCATATCAAGTTTGAGGGGGGAGTGAAGCAAATCCATGCTGTTACAGTGAGGAGAAAGCTTTCCTTGCGGGGGCAGCTGGAAGGGCATCTGAGGGGGGCTTTCTAGGGCACTGGTCATGCTCTGTTTCTTGCTCAGGATACTGGTTACATGGGCACATGAGCTGTATACTTACAATTTATCTGATTTTCCATGTGAGTATTATCGTTGAATAAGGCATTTTATTTAAAAAAAAAAAGGTAAAACAAACGAACCCAAAAGATAATAACCCAAAGTCATGCAATTTGTCCAAACACTATTAAAGAGACCACTGTCAGCTCTTCTAATTCCCTGGCTGATGCTTTTCAACTTCTGCCCCATACTGACCCCGGCTCCAGAATAGAGAAGCCAGGGCTCTTTCCTTCACTCACTGAACACGATGCAGAGTAGAAGCCAGGGCTGTGCATAGCCAGGGCTGTGCATAAACCAGTGCTTCCTTGTCTCCACAGAACATTGTCGCCGTGGGAGCCGGGTTCAGCGATGGCCTCTGCTGTGGAGACAACACCAAAGCCGCCGTCATTCGCCTGGGGCTCATGGAAATGATCGCCTTTGCCAGGATCTTCTGCAAGGGCCAGGTGTCCACAGCCACCTTCCTGGAGAGCTGCGGCGTCGCTGACCTGATCACCACCTGCTACGGAGGCCGGAACCGCAGGGTGGCTGAGGCCTTTGCCAAAACTGGAAAGGTAGTGACTGGCCTTCCCTGTCCACACCCCTCCTTGCTCAGTGGACCCTCCTGGGCTGAGTTAAGTGCAGCCTGACAGAGATGGAAGCTGACACTGATTGTTTGCTGCGGTGTCCTGTTTACCTCTCTGCTTTCATTTTAAAGGACTTAAGTCTTTTTTTTTTTTTTTTCAAGATTTATTTATTTATGCATACAAGAACTGGGGTACAGGCCAGAGATGCAGGGGGTGAGAGGATTCACCAGAGACAGAGTGGGGAACAGAACAGGCAGAAGGACCGAAATACACTAATGAGGGGAGCAGGGGGAGAGTCAGGAGAGGTCTGCTGCACCATGTGGGAATCTCCCTGGCCGGCCGGGAATTGAACTGGCGCTGCAGAGGCTGCAGACAGCATCACAGTGCTGCACTCAACACGCTGCGTCATTGGGGAGGCCCTAAAGGACTTAAGTCTTAAATGTTTCACCTAGTGTGTCTTTATCTTTCCTTGACTCACTACAGGAGTGCTCCCACAAGCTCCTCTTGAAATAAAGTGATTCTCTAGTCTTTACCATAGATTTCTTTTTCATTTTTATTTTTAAGACCATTGAAGAACTAGAGAGGGAGATGCTGAATGGACAGAAGCTTCAAGGACCTCAGACCTCTGCTGAAGTGTACCGCATCCTCAAACAGAAGGGGCTGGTTGACAAGTAAGCCTCTCCTTGGCCCAGGCCCCCAGAGAAACGGTCATCACCCCACTGCTCTGCTGACCCCAGCCCACTGCACAGAGTTGCACTGGATTAGTTCTGTTCCTAGTGTGCTGGGAACACCTGCTGACCCCGAACATGACTATTTGCACAAAGCACAAAACCAGGCTCCATTCTCTAAGATCTGTTACAAAAGAGGAAGTTTGAAATTCGGGTTTATCCTGCCAGGTATTTGGTAAGAGCTACATGCCATATGTTTTAAAATTTTCAAAAATGATTACTTTGTTGTTTTTATAAAAAGACATAGTCTTGTTGATAAAATGTCAAATGATTCAGCAAGAAGAGGAAGGATGTGACCCCAGAATTCTACCACTAGAAGTGACTTGTGTTAAGGTTCAGTGAGCTGTTCTGTAGTCTGTTGTGGGGATGGATGGGTGGGTGCATGCAGGGTGGATGACTGCACGCATGCACCCAGCTTCTGAGCCCTTCTAGGCTGGTCAGGCAATAAAGGTGGGCTTGGGGAAACTTGATTTGCCTCCTGGTCAAGGTAGGAAGCTTCGTTCCACCACAAAGGCTGCCCGTCCTCTCTGAGGCTGCTCCCTGCCTCTCCCTGTCCCTCAGCCCTTTCTCTTGCCAATTTGCTAAGTCTTCTGCCAGAGATACCATATGATAAATGCTTATGCAGCAAATTCTATGTATCCTTAACTGTCCTGGGATACTCGGGGAGAGCAGGAGCAGAGCAGCTGTACTGATGCTGCCTGTTGCAGCTGACCCAGAGTGGGCACTTCTCTGAGACAGGGATCTGCCAGCGCCTACCCGCTTCATCCTTCAGATCAGCCAAGGGGTTTTCTAGTCCCCACCATGCATGTTTACCTCCCCCACGCAAAGCGCTCTCTTTTCATCCAATACATTGATCGGCCATGGAGGTCCCTGTTTAAGTCATAAATGAGAGCAGACAGGGCATTTGTCTTTCTTCTGGCATTTACATTTTGTTTTTCTGAAATGTCTTTCAAAGCCAGCCAGGCAGAAATGGAAGTCATAAACAAGCCTCCAAAGAGGGAAAATTACCTTCAAGTAGTGACTAAAAGGAAAACACCTCTGACATGCATGGTTTTCCTTTCATATCTAACAGTGGACGGTGATGTGTTTGGGCTACTTTAATGACCATTAAGATTTATCAGGAATTTTCTTAAGTCTTAAATAAATACCTCAGTGTTTGCTGAGGGTGAGGTATCTGTGTGCTCTCCAGGACCCCTTTGACAGGATTCTGTGATTGACACGTTGACTGGGTATCAGTCTATATTCATTGTTTGACTCCAAGTGGATACAGGCTGGGACTGGGATTCTGGGATCAGTACCCACCTGCTTTGAAAAACTGGGGTGCCAAAAATTATACCAAATGCTATTATGTAATGTTACCTCTATTTTTAAAAATAATTGAAATAATTAAAAGCAGCTTTAATCAAGTAGATGAAACTTGACTCTGAGCAGATGCCTCCCTCAGCCATGTCCCATTTTCTTTATTCTGATGGGAAATTGAACAGGCCTTGCCTGTGCTTGATGACGTCACTACTGGCCAGAACGGAGCACCTCCCACCCGTCACCTGGGCTGGAGTGTGGCGTCCTGGGGAATCTCCCTTCACTGCACCTGCCTCCCCAAAGCTGTACCCACAGAGCTGGAGATCTGCCATTCACCATCCGTGCCACTGGTTACTTTGATTTGTTTTCTTTTTCACTGCAGCCACCACCACTCTGGTCTTCCTTGATTTTCCTCGTCCCTTCGCCATTGCTATAAAAAGAACAGTGAGCAGGAGGGCAGCATTCACAACCCATGTCATGTTGGGCAGGTCATGTTTTTAGCTGTCCTGTGCCTCATTTTACACAAAAATCAAGCTGGTAGACCAGATGACTGCCATGGTCCCACCTTCGTGAGTGGGCTAATTTCAAGGCCTCCTGTTCTTGCAGAGTGGGTTCCACAGTCCCTAGGGTGAAGTAGTCCCTGCTAGTATAGTACCACCTAACTTTCTAACACAGTATCCTCTTACCACCTACCACCTACTGTTTAACTAAAGCAGCCTTTGCCCCAAACACCTTCTGTCAGACTCCTATGTGCAAGGTCTCCTGCTGCTTGGTCTGCCTGGATGCCCCCCTTAATGTACACCTCAGTCCTTCTCACCCTGAGGGCAGCCCAGGTCTGTCCTTAGAAAAGCCTTCTATATCTTCCAGTCACAGATCCCTCTCCCTGCTTTGAACTTATTGTATAGACCAGTGATCAGCAAACTTTTTCTGTAAAGAAGCAGATAGTAGATAATCTTTGTAGGTCACATACAGGCCTCTGTCATATATACTCCCCCTTTTTTTTTTCTTTTAGGGCCCTTTGAAAAATATAAAAATTCATGGGCCAGATTTGGTTCTTCAGCTGTGATTTATCAAACCCTGGTTTAGCAAGCATGGCTGCTCCTGTGGACTTGTTACATAAACATACAGTTTTACATTTATTCTTCAAATGTGGAGAGGGGTGAATGTGCTTTGGGTTAAAAAAAAAAAATCAAACCATCCAAAAAGGAAAACAGCAAAAAGTGAGTGTTGACCTAGACATAGACAGCTTCTTCAGTTTTTAGTATACATTTCTATTCCCCACTTTCATTTTTATAGTGGGTAACGTACCCCATGTTCCACTCTATCTGTTGATATTCTTCACTTTGGGAAATGTTTTGAAGGTCATTCCATGTCTGCACCTCATTTTTTTCAATTGAGATGTAATTGATATATAACATTATGTTAGTTTCAGGTGTACAACATGATAATTTGACATTTGTATATGGTGCAAAATGATCACCACAATGTCTAATTAACAGCTATCACCACACATTGTTATTCTTTTCTTGTGATGAGAACTTTTAAAATCTAGTCTCTTAGCAACTTTGAAAAACAGAGTATACTGACAACAGCCAGGATAGTAGTATGGATATTGTGCCCATGCTGTACACGCCATTCCCAGGACCTACTCATCTTACAACTGGAAGTTTGTACATTTTCACCTCCTGATCCATTTCAACCACCCTCTCCACCCCTGCCTCTGGCAACCACCAGTCTGTTCTCTGTTTCTATGAGTTAGGAGGTTTTGTTTTTGTATTTTTAGATTCTACATGTAAGTAACTGAGATCTCCATTCTAGAGCGGCTATAGAACATTTCTTTTACTTAACATTCAGTTTATTTAACCAGTCTCCTCTTGACAGATATTAAAGTTGCATGGGTTTTCTGCATAAGCTTTTCTTTATTAAATTTCCTTGTATATGTACCTTAGTGAGTATGTGCAAGTATGATGTATCTGTATTAGTTTGCTAGGGCTGCCACTGCAAATACCTCAGACTCAGTAGTTTATACAACAGAAATTTATTTCTCACTGTTCTGGAGACTGGAAATTCAAGATCAAGCTGTTAGATTGACTTCTTCTGAGGCCGCTCTTCCTGGCTGTAAATGGCAGTCTCCTACCTGTGTCTTCATCTGGTCTCCTCTTTCTGAGTCCCATTCTCCTCTTGTAAGTGCATCAGCCACATTGGCTTAGGGCCCACCTCAATGGACCTTTTTAACTTACTTATCTCCTTACCTGTCCTATCCCCAGACACAGTACTAGGGTTCGGACTTCGTTGGATACTTTGGGGAGGGTAGGCACATTTCAGCACACAGGAATTTTGTAACTTCCTTGAGAGTTGGGGCCTTATTTATAATACTGCTCATCCCTGTACCTAATTGAAGCCTGACACATATAAAATCCTCAGTATCCACTAGTGGGGTGACTAAATGGCTTATTATTTTTCTATGAAATATTATCATTTGTCTTGCTTTCACTTCTAACCTTATTTAGAAGAGTTCCCAAAATTGATGTAATTGGCCAAATAGCATTTAATATCACAGAACAGCATTAGGGTGAGCAGAGGATCTTCGTGGTTGAGAGTTGGTGCCAAGTCAGAAACTGTGTCCCCCTATTCTCCATATCTTTTGTTAACATCCCATCTACAGCATATATTGGAAATGCTAGCTGTGAAAGTTAGGAGTGCTTTTAGCTGCAAGAGCAATGTCCAGTTAAAAATGCCTTGGACGATAGGGTTATTTTTCTACGTAACAAGGAATGCAGAGGTGATTACTAGTGTTGGATCATTACTCCTGGATTAGAATCTCAGTGTCATGTTAGCCTTCTCTCAAAGCCTCAAGACAGCTGCAGCAGCACCAAGCATCACATACTCACACAAGCATCCAGAGGCCAGGAGCACAAGCAGTTTAGAGTAGCAGGTTGTTCCTCTGGAGCTTCTCAAAGAGAGAAATATCTTGCTCGGAAACCCACAGCCAATGTATTATGGCTTGCTGGCTAGAATTTGGCTAATTCTAGGTAAAAGAAAAAAAAAGGCTTGGAAAAATGAGCATCAGGCTATTTCCAATCTTGGTGAGGAGAGAAAGGGGTTGGGACTGGCTTTGTCACCATCATCTGCTACCCTGATTTGGGGACATACAAGTGGTTCTCATCTTAGGAACGTGAAAAGCCTGAGAGGTAAAAGAAAAGGGCTGAAATTTCCAGGTTCAAACTCTCATTCACAAGAAATCATTCAAAAGATACTTCCTGAGCACCTGCCCCTTACTATGCACTGTGCCGGCCCCTGAGGGTGGAGAGGCAAGCAAAACAGACTTCAACCCTATCGTCCCATTTCACAATGGCCATCTTGTAGCTATATTTATAAGCTGTCAATTATTGCATGCCTACATATGCCAAGGCTTGTCCATATACTTCACATGTAAGTCACTGAATAACCAGGTCTAAGTGTCCGGCCCTGTTTTACAGATCAGCAAACAGGGTAAGAGGAGTTGTGAAACTTGCCCAGAGTTAAAAGGCTATGGAGTCAGATTTGAGTGAGCCTACTTGACTCCAAAAAATAGCAAAACATCCCATACCTTAAAACAACAACCATGATAGACTCTCATAAAGACATGTGTCTTTTCAGGGCTGCTTGCTCTTGTTAAATTAACTTGTCAATACAGAATTCTAACTACATACTTTTCAGAATGGCCTTTAAGACTATTGATTCTGTCAAGCTTACTTTGGGCTGTGTGTTTGCATGCGGATGTGTGTGTGTGTGTGTGTGTGTTTAAAAGCCTGATTGAAATTAATTTAGCTATTACCTTAGTGATTTCTGCCATAAAAAAAAACCCACTTGCTGAACCAGCTATATCCTAATGTTATCTTTTCATACACTGGTATATTAGCCCACATCTTTACACCCTCATCCTTTTCAACTTCTTTTTTTTTTTTTTAAAGATTTATTTATACATACAAGAACTGGGGTACAGGCCAGAGGAGTGGGGGGTGAGAGGATTCACCAGAGACAGAGCGGGGAACAGAACAGGCAGATCAACCAACATACACTGCTGAGGGGAGCAGCGGGCTGGTCAGGAGAGGTCTGCTGCACCATGTGGGTAGCTCGCCGGCCGAGAATTGAACTCGTGCTGCTGTGGCTGCAGCAAGCTTCATAGATTGCGTCTTAACCCCTTGCACCACCAGGGAGGCTCCATTTCAACTTATATTTATGCTATTTATGTGTTCTCATGTGGGCAGAAAAGGCAAAATGAATCCAGCTTCCAACATGAGAACAATGTTTTGCTAATTGTGAAGTCCACCTGTTGATTCTTTTTCTTTTCTTGTATTGAGGTAACATTGGCTTACAATGCTGTATATGATTTAGAGGTGTGAGTTCACAACTCTTCAGATGTATGGTACCACACCACACTTACCACCAAAACACCTGTAGTCCTCTACAGTAGTCTGCTGGGCCCCTTCCCCTACTCCTCTGGGTGCCTCAGTTCTACAATTCGCCCTCTAGGGCTTGTTATTGGTTTAGTTCTGACTGACCTTTTCTTTCTCTGTATTCCACATACAAGTGAAAGAAGCCATTTGGTATTTGTCTTTCTCTTTCTGACTTATTTCATTTAGCATGATCCCTTCTAGTTAAATTCATATTGTCGAAAATGGCAAGAGTTCATCTTTTTTAATAGCTGGGTATTATTCTATTGAGTATTTATAACACATCTTCATAACTCACTCATCTGTCCTTGGGCACTTAGGTTGTTTCCATAATTTGGCTGTTATAAATAACGATGCAATAAATACAGGAATTCAGGTATCCATTCAAATTAGTGTTTTTGCATTCTTTGGGTAGATACCTGCAGGTGGAATCAACACATGTTGATTCTTGAAGGAGTTCCAGACTTGAATTATTTATGGTGATGTGTGGGCTATTTATCCTCCTCTTTTGATGATCCTTTTTGGAGAAGGGAGAGCAATAAATACCTCCTTGCAATTTAAAATGTATTCTCCAGTCTTTTGAATTGTAACTGAAACTTGAACTCATTCTAGATTTGACCAAAAGCCTGAGCCCCCCACCCTGTAGGATTACCATGTGACTTGGAGTAGACACTGAACTCCCACAGACAAAGGATGGTTCGGAATATACCAAGATCTTGCAGCAACTGGGCGGAGGTTCTATGCAGACAAGTAATAAAGGAATGTAGAAGGGGGTCACTTTGTTTTCCAAAAGTAGCCCAATAATCTGAAATATTGGGACAAGACAGAAAAACCTTTTTTTGCCCTATTAGGTCAACCAGATGGCTTAACTTATCTTTTCACGTTTTTCCCCAACCAGGTTTCCATTGTTTACTGCAGTCTACCAGATTTGCTATGAAGGCAAACCTGTTCAAGAGATGTTGTCTTGTCTCCAGAGCCACCCAGAGCACATATAAAGTGAATCATGCACTAATTCGGGGAATGTTCTGCCTTTCTGATCAGTCTTTTGGATTCAAATGGAAACTTGGCAACAAGATTTGCTTGACTGTAATCCCAGCATGGATATATATGAATTTTTACAGGTTTGTTTTTGAATTTCAAGAAGCAGTTTATTGACCAAGACGTACTGGGTAACAACTAGTCACACTTACATGAAAGCGTGAGTGTGTGTTCATTTCTCATTCTGTGGATGTTTCTATGAACCAAAATTAAAAGTCCTTTTTAAAAATTACTTTTGAAATTTGCCCACTGCTATAGCTTATGAGATTGGAACTGTCTCAGCCAGATTTTCAAAATCTAATTTATATGTGTTTGAGTGTGGAAAATTATATTTTTTCTTTCTTTTGATGTTAAAGTTTAACCAGCGTAAAGATGGTGGAGTTGAGGAGTAAGTGTATTCCAAGATCAACATACTGTAACTTTTAAACACTATCTCTAAACCAGCATAGCTAACTACTTGGATTGTGTGCTGATCATTTTCTTAACAACTGTATATTTTTAATTAGGTAATCCACTTATGCATCTTCCTCTCACTGCAGTTTCCTGCATTTAACCTCCTTTCTCTTTATTAACTGCCAGACTATCCTTTCCTAAAGGCTCAGAAATGGCAGAAGATGAAAAACTCATCTGGGACTGACATTCTTCTGATTAACCACACTTGATGCTTTTTGTTAGGTAGTACTTTCATGCAAACATCTTGTAGCCTCATAGATCCCCTGAGCGAAGGCTGCTGTTACTGCGCATTTAAGTTGCAGTCACTGTGTCTGGTCACCTGGCAAGTAGGGACAGAGCCAGAAGCCCATCTAAGTGTTCCTTTCCCCTGCCTCAAGATGCCAGACCTCCTAAGACATAAGTGGGCTGGTGAGATCTGGTCATGGCCAGTGCCATGTGCAGGAGAGGCTTCTTGCAGATGAGATTTGTGGAGATGGTTGTCTAGACGAATGTCATTCAAAGTATGGTCTTCAGTCCAGCAGCATCAGCTTCACCTGGAGTCTATTAGAATGCAGATTCCCAGGTCCCACCCCATATCTCTGAAGTATAATAAAGTACCTTTGTTTCCAGTTGCCTTCCATGAGTTTCTGACATTCACTGCAATTTGAGAACCACTACTTTAGAAATTTTACTTTAGAATAGCATTTCTCAAACTGTGTTCCATAGGAAATGAGGTTGTGGGATCCAGTGGTTGTTCTGGGTATTCCGTGGCAAGTGCAAATGAATTTGGGAAAAGCTGTGTCACACACCCATCTTGACTATGTAGAATGTACATTAGTGTGCCAGTGGAACCTATTTATTTTACCCAGCAAGTTCCAAACACATTTGATTATAAAGATTTTTTGGCAAGAAAATTTGCTAAAGTTTCCAGGAAACACTGTTTTAGGTGGAGGAGACTTCAGGATAACTCCCTGCAAGACACTAGTATGAATAAGCTACCTGTGGTATTAGCTCTGAATGTTTACAGTTCTGGTCTGCCATGAATCTTTGATGAAGTTTAAAGGTAACATATCAAGTACAACCAAGTAGATGTCAACCTCGCTGAAACGCACATTATGTCCAATAAGTGCTTTTAATTCTGGAATTAGAATGGAAATGACTGTATCTTCCTTCTAAAATGAGACTGGCTTCAGGATAGCATTGTCATTACCTTACACAGCATTTGATAAGTGTTGGGGAATGGATGAATGTCATTTATATATTCATGAATTTTCAGTTCCTTTGTGAGATTTAACCTTTTTTATTTTCCATATTGGGACATTTTTCCATCTACACCTGAAGTGATTGTAGAATAGATTTTTGTGGAAATTTAAAAAAAAAAAACCTACCCACAACATTTTGGGGGCATTTTAAAGCTCCATACATAGAAATATATGAAAGCACATAAATGCTACAACTTTCATTGATTTTAGTGCCACTGTTAAGTCAATCAATTTTTGCTTGTCTCATGATTCATCTTTTTAAAAGTTTGTATATAGGTAACAAAGTGTTACTTTTTAAGATATTTAAAGGGCTGTAAGTTAATTGTGGTACTTATTAAGTAGGATACTTAGATGTGAGGAATTAGGAGCTTGTCTCTGTATTCTCATCTGCATTTAGCTTCCTACTCTGGGTTTTGTACTTGAGGTTTTTTCCTTGACAGATGCTCTCTTACCATGCTGAAGTCTGCTACTGTATCTCTTGAACCTACTTATAATTTTCTGCACAATATGGGAAAAGGCAAATTTTATAAGTTTGTGCACTGCTAACTGTAAATGTTTATTACTCTATGAGTTACCTATTTTTGTAACCCCTTGTGGCCATCACTTATTTTCATTCATGTGTCTTACTAATTATGGAAATAGGAAGGGAGACATCTAGAAGAGAAGCTTAATTTGTACTAGTTCGGCCAATCTGTGAATGTAAAACTACACTGTTGCCTTGCTATAATCCATCCTACTATAATGTGGAGTAAGTATCAGGCTGAAATCCATCCTAGAAGTGGAGTTAAACTAATAAAGTCATTCTGGTTTTTCATTTCACTCTTAACACAAGATGCCCCTATGGCATTGACCCAACCAGTGGTGAGGTGCCCATGTACAAAGGGATCATCAGTTTTCCCACTAATTATAATCTAAGAGCCTTTTACTTACATGTGTACTATATTTGTTTATAGACTTTAAATGGATATAATTTAAAAGCTTGATTTAATAAACATTTATTCCCCCCAACCGGTGCTACTGAGTCTTTTTTTCTTTTCGTAATCAGCTTAGTTAATAGTTTTATTTATTTAGGTCAGCTCTTTTTCCCCTGAATCATTTCATATTAAGAATAATAAAAGGTTACCAAAAGAAGGACTTATTCTCTAATCCTACACCTCAAACACGTCTGTTTTCATCTGTCTGTGTTCCTTTTCATTATTTACTGATATTTTTATATAATTGCAATTGTAGGATGGAGATCTTTTCATTCCAACAATCAGTGGACTAATGAACTTGAAATCTCTCTCGCTTCTAGAAAATCCAGGAAAATATAACTGCTGTCCTTTTCTATCCTGGGTTGATATCATAAAAATGTGAGGGAAATCCGCAGGAGCCTGAAACAAATAGGGTCTGAGAGTCAGAATAAGGCTATAAGGCAGGTTGTTCTATGGCCACCAGGGGAGGGGTAGGAATGCCCTCCATTATCTAAAGGTTTCGTTGTAAATCTTATACTGGAACTAGAAGCCCTGAGGACTACACTGATGGAATGGGGAAAATGGGCTAAGGAGGTCCATGCATAGGTACAAACAAACTGGGCTCCAGGTGGAGAAAAATGTCTCTGCTGAAAAATTGTAATTATGAGGCAAGCAGTATAAACAGGTTAAGGGTTTGAATTTTTATACCCATGAAACCACTAGCAAAATATCATCATAAAAATAATAATGTGAGCTAGTGATGCCAATGGATAATAGGTAGAAGCAAGCTCAAAGACCCTGCAGAAATCCACTCTAGATCCAGGCTAGCCAGTCTTCCCATAATTAAAGCTCCACTGAAAAATGCACTTTAAAAAAGTATAAAATATTTACAAAGGAATATATTGAGTGAAAGGCAACAGAAAATTTTAGATAGAAGAATGTGATGTCCTAGGCTTCAAATAATTAATTGAGCACTATTGGTTTTGCAGGTTATTTTTTAAAATAAAGACATGAGAGGAGGACTAAAGCATTAAGGAGAAAATAATATGAAAAAATCCAACTAGACTTGAAAACAAATATATTAGAACATCTGGAAATTAATTCAAAGCAAGTCATTGGACAATTGGACACATTAAGGAGTCGATGTGACTGAGCTGTAAATGGAATTAGCAAGCTGGAAAATAAATCCGTAGATATTAACAGATTAGCAAGGAAAATATTTGAGAATTTAAGAGGTAAGTAAAGGATAGGGCATGAAAATTCAACATACATCTGATAGGAGTTCGGAAGAGGAACAGTGTCAGGTTTTGAAAAACTAAAACCTGGAATTTGTTCAGAATTAAATGCACCAATTTTATGCTATTTTTCATAATATGGTTCTATTAAAATTTGATCCCATAGTCTAACTTTTTATGACTGCATATAAATTAAGTCAATAGTGAATGTTTTGGGTTTTTTAGGAAAGTAAGTTGTGTAAGGAGTCTTATTATATTTTATTGAAGGTATGATTAAAGTTATTGAATCTTTGCTTTGAATAGGAGGTATAACACTGTGGCATGAACTGGGTTCTAACTTTTGCCCTGTTGTTTTAGTATCTATTTGGTCAACCCAGCTATAACTCCTCTTTGACATTCGTTCTCATTGGTAAGTGGCAATAATACCTATGCTGTCTGTTTCATAGGATTACAGTAAAGGACAGTGAAAAGCAGAACATCTTATCAACATATTAAAGGAGAAAAATCAGAGAATCAGGCTTGTAGCAGAGACAATGCTGTGTGTTCATTAAATTATTTTTTTCTGAGAAACGTAGTTAAACTACATTTCTTCACCTCCCCAACAAGTGATTGAGTTAAGGAAAAAATGCCACATCCAAGGGTTATGATTTATATGATTCCTCATACTTTCTTCTATGTGCCAACTGGGTATCAAATTTCAGCATGACCTGAAAGCCATATTTTGAAGATGGTAAAGTTTCTTCAGCCTGGATACCTTCATATCTATGGAGAAAGTCCACTTCAGACTGTGATAGCTATAAAAAAGAAATCCTTGTTGCATTATACCACTGAGATTTAGGGGTTGTTACAGCAGCTAGTATAACTTACCCTAAGACATTGCTAAAAATATCTCTGAAAAGCTAAGAGATAGACTGTGCAAGGGATTTGAAAGAACTAGCCCTTTGATATACATCATAGTGTTTGTTAGGGTATCCCTTGTTTGGGCACAGGAGGCTGTGTTGGAATGTGGGTATGTATTCCTGTGGGTATGTCTGTTCCTCTCCTCCCTAGGAATAACTCTAGTGGAGTCTAGACTTTATGTATATAATTGTGCTTCCATTTCCAGAGTTAATGCCAGCCAAGTCCCAGGATTTATAATATATGCTTCTTAATAACACCAGAGTGTCATTTAGATGACTTCCTCATTTCAAAAGCTTTTAATTAAAAATGTTACTAAATTTTAGGTAAGTCAGCATACCAGCTGTCATCTTTGAAAAACATGTTTCTGGTGGAAGCTAAAAGGGGTGACTTTTCAGCTCCCTCTAAGAAATTAAGGAATGTAACATCTCTGAGTTTTACACATTGTGAATGAAATAGAGCCATTGGAAAAATGGACTTAATGTAATTTGTCAAGTTGGTGCTATTTGTCTTGTTGCAATGGTAATCTTTTTATGCTATGATGGAAGTTATTTGTGGTTCTTTTTTGTTATAGCTCTTATTTTAAAATAATTTTTGAATGGATAACAGTTACTTAGGTCAAATAATAAAGTCCATTTTGTATATCCCAATTAGCCAGTTAGTTGTTTTTAATGTGCTCTTCTAGAATTTAATTTCACAAAAGCAAATATACATTCTCATTCTCTTCCCCATTTTCTATACAAAATATAACTTAGTATATACTCATTATTCTGCATCCTGCTTTTGTTAACATGTCTTGGTCTTTCATATCAGTTGCTTATTTTTAATAATTGTGTGGTTTTTAAAAATATTTTGAAATAGTTATGAGTCACCGGAAGTTGCAAAGATAGAGCTGAAGATTCTGTGTCTCCTTCGCCCAATTTCCCTGAATAGGTCAATACCTACTTTTTAAAATTGTAAGTTAAGATATTAGTAGCAGAGCACTTTAAGCACTATCATATTGTTGTTCATATTTGATTTTATTTAATCCTTAAAATTTATCATCCCCAGGGCCTCCCCTGTAGCGCAGCAGTTGAGCGCTGGGTTGCGAAGCTGCTCCCCGGCCACCAGAGGAGGGTCCCGCATGGCGCGCAGACCTCTCCTGCCGCCCGCTGCTCCCCTCAGCAGTGTACTTCGGTCCTTCTGCCTGCTCTGCTCCCCGCTCTGGCTCTGGTGAATTCTCTCACCCTCCCGCGCTTCTGACTGTACCCAGTGCATGTACAAACAAACAAATAAATAAAAATACATGCCTCTTTAAAAAAAAAAAATAAAAAAAAATTTATCATCCCCATATTGAGATGGTGAAACTAAAGCACAATCTAAAGAATGTACCCAAATCAATTACTATCAATTTTAGTAATTGGTAAAATCAGGATTTGAACTCAGTCTAGTTGAGAGTCTGTTCACGTTTAGGCTATATTACCTCTGAGTAATGTCTGCTCACAGTCAAGTGAAATCAAACGATGATTAGAAATATCGAAGGTGGGGCTTCCCTGGTGGCACAAGGGGTTAAGCACAGGACTATGAGAAATCCGCAGGCTCTGCAGCACGAGTTCAATACCAGGCCAGGCAGGGAGCAACCCACATGGAGCAACAGACCTCTCCTGGCTCGCCTGCTGCTCCCCTCAGCAGTGTATTTCAGTGGATCTGCCTTTTCTGTTCCCCACTCTGTCTCTGGTGAATCCTCTCACCCCCCGCACCTCTGGCCTACACCCCAGTTTTTGTGTGCATAAATAAATAAATCTTAAAAAAAAAGTCAAAGGTGCAATCATTCTTTCTGCATGCTTGAATACATGTATTAGATTTTAAGACAATAATGTTCTAAAATTTTTCTGTCTACCTAGAAATCTGACTGTGGAATTGAGGCTGCAAGATGGAGAGGGGAAAAGGGAAAACAAAGTGGGAGGGGCACAATGGACGATGATGGAGGGTTGAAGGATCCTTAGTGAGAGGTGTGGTGTGGTAGGCATCTGAGGAGGTGTGATCCTATACCTTTGAGTCAAATATAGTGTTGTAAACCAATGTTATCTCAATTAAAAATATAATTTTCCATCAGAATATTAAACTTTCATAATACATACTGTCTCCTTTAAATGTCCTTTTAAATAATGTATCATATATGAATGTTCCATAATTTATTATGGATGAATATTTAGGTTTTCTGTATTTCTCTTTATATAACAACTATTGCAGGAAACATCTTCACTCTATATGAGCAGAGATACATGAGTCAATCTAGAAAGTAAAATCCCAGAAGTGGAATTGCTGGCTCAATGGCATGTGTGTTTTATATTTTAACAGACACTGCGAAATTAACCTTCTAAAGGATGACTGCAATTTACACTTCTGTTCCCACTCTTTTCCTAATTACACCTTTAACCTCTGTTAGAGATTCTTTTCTAATTATCAGAGACAAAAACGTAAACCATTATATCCAAGAAATATGCAATTTTGTACATATGAAGAATTTAGATATCTACTGATTTCACTATAAAAAGTAAACTTTTGTCATTCAAAACTAGAATTTTGTTACTAACCATTTTAACGGTTGGTAGTGCTGAAAGTTCATATAGGAATGGAATGGGTCATGTAAGTAAGTGAACTGTTTAAAAGGCATGTTGAATTAAGAAACATTCCTTTAAAACCTACTACAAATTCACCATTTAAGTATAACTCCAGAAAACTCTTATTTAAAAAAAAAAAAAAAAAAAAAAAGCTAATAGAGCCGCAAGATGCTGTTCTGAGGAAACTCCAGGTTCCAGTGAACCATGAACCTCCTGACCACTAGAGGTCACTCTTTAGGAATGACCCCTTTCCCCAAGCAGTTGGCAACCTGTGAGCAGTGTCTTATATGTGTATTTTTTTTTTTTTTACTG